TGAAAGTATGATCACTTATGGATTCAAATGATAAGAAAAACAATACTGATTTGAATAACTGTCATGAAAAGATAAAGATCAGCTGGTGGAGGTTTTTATGATGCCTTTATTTGAAAAAAAAAGCTAAATGTTGGTGATAGAGCAAAAGGTTCCTCTGACATTTGAGGGTTTAAAGGTCCAGTGTGAAACATTCAGGAGGAGAACTGGAGTATAATACTCAGAGGTATGTTTTCATTAGTGTATGAACACATGGAAATAAGAATAGTTGTACCATTGTTGAACCGCTGTGTTTCTACAGTAGCCCAGAACGGACAAACCAAACAGATAGCACCTCTAGATTGCGTTGATTTGCGTGTAGTTTCTTTCACACACTTGGGAGGCGAGAAATATTCAGTTGGTTGTAATCTGCAACTTCACCACTAGATACTGCTAAATCCTACACTCTGGTTGTTTAATGGTTTAAAAAATAAAGTGAACATTGTAACTTCTGCTGTTTTATTCCAGAAAGGTTTTATTGGCAACATCAGAATGTTTGTCAAACGTTAAGTCACTATAACTGTCAAATGTCACATATTGTGTATATACAGATGTTTTTTATGTGTCAGTTAATAGTGTGTTGGTTGGCTTTACTTCGTATACATGTCAGCAGTGTGTGTTTAATATATAGGTCTACAACTAACAATTATTTAGCTTATGGTTTAATCTATTGGTTATTTTTATGAATAATCAATTGTTTGAAATACAGTCGCAATTTCCCAAAAGCCCAAGTTGACATCTTCAAATGCCTGGTTTTCTCACACCAGCAGTCTAAAACTTTAAATTATTCAATTCACTGTGATATAAAACAGATAAAAGCAAATTCTGACATTTGTAGAATAAATGTAGATAGCTAACACGCTGTTTTAAGTTAGTGAACATATTAAACATTACACCTACCTGCATCTGTGTGTTAGCATTGTCACCTGGTTCATGTACTGAATGTGACCATGTTAGCATGCTGACCTTAGCATTTAGCTCAAAGCACCACTGTGCACACAAGCATGGCTGTAAACTCTTAGTCATGTTTCTTGGCTAAGGACATGAAAGATTATGAAGATAATTGATGATTAATTTTCTGAATTGTTTAAGCTCGACTAATATATTGTTAATAGCATTTAAATGTGACAGATATGAGTACAGACATTTACATAACTGCAATGTAAATTTGTTGTTGTTTTGTATCGTCTTCAGCATGGTTACACATTGACAATATCTGGATGTTTATATACAGTTATACAATTTTATATGTACTGTCTGGACGTTGTTTCCATGAGAAAGTTTTGTGACTGTGAAGCTGTTAATGGTGTCAATGAATAAAAGTACAAAACTTTTAGACAAATTGATTTGTATCACAGAAGAGAGTTTGTCAGATAATATCTGACAGGGTTGAGTGAGTGCTCGGTTGAAACAAGTATCCGGTACAGATAATGTACTACGAGTGTGTCTTTTATAATAAATCTGAAGCTCCGTTCTGTAGTCTTTTAAGCCCCGTCCATGACTAGATTAAGCCCGCCAATTCCAAGTACAGATATGAATATAGATAATTTAGTTGGTTGAACAGATACAGATAACAGTGCACTCGCTCATCCCTAATATGTGACCTTTTCCCATGGAGCAACACAGGTGAATAGAGCTCAGAGCAAAGAAATGAATTATTGAACTGATGATTACTTTTACTGCATTGGAACTTCTCTTTGTATGAAACCTGGACACTCAGTGTAAACCCCCTGAGAACTGTGGCTTCACAGAAAATGTCAACATCGGAGATGTGGCCTCTTTACTCTCAAAAGACGGAGACATCAATGATAGACTGTCGATATTTTGTGCCATTATTTTTCTCACTGGTACAGCTGGATCTGGACGTGAGCAGCAGGAAATCCATCAACACACACACACCTACAAATACACACAAAATCACCACATATTTCCCTTTTCAGAACTTCTGCTGAAGGCCAAGGCTTTTCTCTGCTGTTTTGGTAAAGAAATGTCAAGTTAACTCAGCTCAAATAAGATTTTTCCGGTCTCTGCAGAGGTGACCTTTCTGGGTGGTATTTCAATATGTGTAATTAATTCCCCTTGAGCTATAAAACTCGACCCAACCCTGATCTTCCGACCCTTTTCTCTTCCCGCTGTTTTTCCCATGTATTTAGTGTGTTGGTTTTTTTTTACTTTGCCCTGTCCTTTAATCTTTATAACATATCCTGTGTGTCAGCTTTGACAGCGCTGCAGAAGGTTAACTTTGAAAGTCCATCAAATTTAAAACACGTCACACAACTCATCTCCAGTAAGCCACAGTTTATTCACCAAATGTTAATTTCAGGATGAGGTTGTTTCCAGTTTCCCTATTTACAGCTCATCAATTACTCTTGTGATCTATAGTATAATAAACTCTGGGGCCTTTGGGAAATAAGTGGTTTGTTTCGGCAGATATAGATATGATTTCAGTCAAAGGATCAGGGCAGGAGAGATGATCCGCAGGTCAACGGATTTAATCATAGGAAGTACAGTAGACAGACATATATGTGCAGGATAACTATAAGGATGAGTGTGTTTGTGGTCTTCAGAAGGAAAAACACAATATATGATATTTGGGAATAGGAATGTAGCAAGCAAGTGTACCTATCTTTGAAGATATAGATAATAAAAACTCCCCAAGCAAGTACTGCACATGTACTACTACACATTGGGGCACATGACTGCAAATGAATCTCCATTATTGTTCATAAATCGCAATATAAATGTTTAATGCTAACAGCTATAGCATACAGATCTAATAACAAACAAAGTAACATTCAGGTGGTACACTTCATACAAACTGGAAAATAACTTTATCTCTGAAAAGCCAAAGTAAAACACTACGGAAAGATTATGTTAATTTGTGCACAGACAGTTAGAAAACTTGAAAAAAGTGAGTGAGTGGTCCAGGTCTATTTCTGCTCTGTATTCACTGAATGCAGATACCGACATGATGGCAACGCTCACTGACATGGCTAGGCTAGTCTTTCTCACCGAATCATCACCAAAAACAAGAATACAATATCTCCTCCATCTTTTTAAAATACTTTTTTACAAAATATGGATACAGAGATTTACACTTTATACCAATTTTGTGAGGTCCTTTGATTTTATTCCCCAGATTCTTCTTCCTGGTGCCTACATTACCCATGATGCAACTTGACAGTCAGAGATTTCGATGTGTTATGCTAGTAGCGTTAGCGGGCACAGAGGTCTGGTACACTCACTTCTTTCATACACGATACCCCCACTTGACTTAAATGAAACACTGACTCAAGTGACATTACTTGAGGTAATTTATCAGATTTCATGCAGCTTCCTCAGGAGCCACAAAAGGCTTTATGCAACATTTTCCTCATATGCAGTGGCCCTCCCCAACAACAGACTTTAATCTGGAGTTTCCTTTTAAAAGCATATTAGAATAATGTAAAATCCAGGGACACAAAATGGAAAGTGGTATAAAAATACAAAACCTGATCCATTATAGTCACTGCAATATGAATGAAACTTTCCACGCTTTTTATATCATTAATATATTATTACAAACAACTGTATTAGAAAATACAGATGACTGACAAAACGTAGTCCTATTGTCTAAATGTGGATGTCTTTTTTTCACTTGTTAGTCAGTGACAAGGCACAAATGTGAAGGACAACTCAGCATACGTGGCACACGAAGAGCCACAGGCAGAGACATCTCATTGGTAGAGGAGGAAGTCTTTGATACTGTGAGGAAGGAAGAGGCTGGAGGCTCTGTGGAGACGACTCCTTCCCAGACTTCGGCGAATGCAGAACCGACAGAGCTGAGACAGAGAGCAGGGACCTGGGCAGGCAGGGGCAGAGACAGAGCATGGAGTTGTTTTACCTTCTAGAGAATAAATAAAGTGGCTTTTGGGTGTTTGTGTCCACAACATACCTCTTCTCTGCAGTGTAATTCTCACTGCACTGTTAGGTGACGACAGATCCAGTGCAGTCTTTCCCTCTGCGTTTCTAAAAAATCCATCGGCTCCAAAGTCCAGCAGAAGATCCACTACATTTGCTCCTCCACCTCGAACTGCAGCATGTAACGGACTGTCCTGCCCACACCCTAGTCGGACATCTGCTCCTACAAATGCACACAAACTGAACTGGTAAAACATCATTGACCCTAGTTAACACGTCAGAACAGACAATTTATGTGATTCAGAACATAAACACCCGACCCAATCCAGGTGTCCTCACTGTGTGTTCAAGCCCTTTGAGCAGAGCTATGAATAATTTCAAATGATTTGACAGTTCTGCAAATTAGACTGACAAATGTAGACGTGCCAGAAAAATGATGTGCTGCTTTGAACTGTGAAATACTGTTTTTCATGGAAAATGAGAGTGATTGGAAGAAGAAGCAAAAAAATCACAGAAATCAAAAGCAGCAACATCAGCCGTATTTAATTATTCTAGGACTGCAGCTAACAGTTATTTTCTCAATCGATTCGTTGTTTTTTCTATAAAATGTCAGAAATGTGTGAAACTTTTCAATTATTTTCAATTATACTACTATTGCTGCTGAAAAATTGTCAGATTTGAGAAGCTGGAACCAGGAAATACTCGGTATTCTTGCTTTTTGCTACAAAAATGATTAATAAATTATTAAAATATGAATTTGTGTTGGGTATCCACATGCGATGGTCAAGTAATGAGAAACTTGCTTTCTTTAGATATCCTAGTGATCTCTAAGTCCATATGTTCATTAATATTTAATTGTCATAGTAGTTATAAAATGGAGGCTGATGATTGTCTGGGTTTATATTTGTGTTATATCCCATTCTTTCATAGGTTGTACAACCTTTTGTGACACTGCAGAGTTTGCAGGCTGCAATACCTGAGTGTAGCAGCAGGTCTACGCAGGCTGCAGCCTGGGCCATGCAGGCAGAATACAGCGGCGTCCCAACCACTGGCAGCTCCATGTCGATATGAGCTCCGTATGACAGCAGCAGCTCCAGACATTCTCTGTGACCTGACGGAAGAAACCAGCACAGCGTGAGAGTCTGTGCATGTGTGGACACGCCTTTACACTCATAAATGTCTGTACATACACACCTTTCTTAGCGGCTTCATGGGTGGGTGATGCCCGCTGGTAGGGGGTGTGGATGGAGGCACCGTGCTGCAAGATGAGCCTGGCACATGCAGCACTCCCGCTGCTGCAGGAGTTGAAGAGAGGTGTGGCGCCATCTGTTGATACTGCCTCCACCTATAAGGGACCAACATTAGACATATTAAGAAATATGGCATGTAGACAGATACACTATATAGACATTGATGACCCCTGACCCCTTTCTACCAGAGTCTGTTTAAAGAGTGCTCCATCTATTTATCATTGTCAGACTCATGGACAGTTGGGAAGATGTATCAAAATAAAAGCAGCAGAACTGTTCCTATTCCACACTTTCTTCTTCTTTGTCACAATCATTACCCACAATGCACCTCATTGATTCAGTCTGTGATTCGGGTGTGTTATGCTAGTTGCTGCTAATGTGGGCTCAAGCTGCTAGTAGAAACCAGAGGTGAGGAGTGGGCTACAGGGGTCTGCTGAGCTCACTTCAACTCAAACTTGTAGTCTTTGTGGTCTTTATCAATTTTCTGCAGCTCCCTCTGGAGCAACAAAGGGCTAAAACTGTGCAGTAATACTCTAGACTGTAAGAAGTTTTCTTCACAAATCCATTTAAAACAGATGGAGTATATTGGATACACATATCTACATAACTACTTCTGGTAATACAAACACGCTAAAAACAAGCCCTTCTTTAAACTATTTACACAATTTTTACTTACATTTGCACCGTTGTCCAGCAGGAACTTGGCACAAGCGTAGTGGCCACCAAGGCAAGCTTCATGAAGAGGAGAGACTCTGTCCATGGTGGGTGTGTCTACATGGAAGCCCTGCCGGGAAGATCGGATCAGAGAGAATAATACTGTCAGAGACGACCACGTATGTGCTGTGTTCAGTGTGCATTTTATTTTAAGAAAAAGGCCCACGTTCGTCTACCTGAGCGAGGAGACTTCTCAGATGTAGCAGTCTGCCCTGGTAGGCGGCTTCATGGAGAGGAGTTCTGTCTGACAGGAAGTCTGAGACACAGAGAATAAGACCAGGAAAGTCTCTGCTGTGAGAAAACACACTGATACACTCATGGCCAACTGATCTGGCTCTTTGTTCATTGAAATGTTAAGATGACCTCATTTGAATGCATATTGATCTGGTTTCCCAACCCTAAACACCAAACTCACTGAGCTACACACACCCAGGGTCCTGTTGATCTTCTGCAAACTTTTCAGGTCTCAACCAATCTGTAATCCTGATTACAAAAATGTAACTTTCAAATCCCCAAAAACCATCAGGATGTGGGGGTTTGATGCTTAATGCAAAAATGCATGCAAAGCTAAACCATATTTACTAGAAAGCTTGTCCATTTGCTCAAGAAATAACAAATGTACTCCAGTTGTGTGACTCATAACATAACACAACAAAAATTTGCTAAATGGGCCAAAAAGACAAAGAAAAAACTTACCAGCCATCAGTGAGTTGCATGCCAACCCCCCATAGATGTACAGGGGCCTGTGCCATGGTTGCGAGCACAGTGAAAGCTCAGTTTGAACAGCAGCCATGACGAAAATGAAACAGCAGCAGGCTCCTCCACGACTATCCAGGACTCAAGCTCAACCAGTCGGATACACAAACCTGAAGTCGGCCTTCCTCCCCCTCTTATCTGGGTCCTTGGCCACCTCCCCCACATTGCCACCTCCCGCCCACCCTTGTCCCAGTCCATGGATGCAGTCTACAGTATGTGCATAACAATGCTTGTTAGGATGGGTCTGTGCTGATGATACACCTTGAATAAAGCACTTGTCTATGCAAACAGGCTTTAGATAAGTTTCACACTGTAGATATTTGGTTGATACAAGAGCAGTGTACTGTATTTCATCTTGCCAAGTCTGTTAAGTGTGAAAGTGCACTGTTTTCTGTTAAGACAACATATTTTCAGCTAAAGGGACAGTAAATGTTGCTATGTGAATGTGAATTGAATTAAATATGTCATCACATGATCTGAATGTAGTGATTATTTACAATAAAATACACTAAAACACACCTACTTTCTTCAAAATGTATCCTGAATTATACACAGTAAACAAAAACACAGCTCCTTTTATGACCCTAGAATTAGCTCCACATGTAGACACACATTTCCTGAATACATAACAAAAAGTTGTATATTTTTTCAGCTCTCTCTACTTGAACTCATATAACAAGCTTTTTTTGCAGGCATGTTACAGCGCTGATCCTCCAATCACGACGGCATGCAAATCCCCATTGTTAGCCTTGAAAAGCCATGCCATCCAATCGCTATCACCTCCAGTTTCACAGCTACTCTGTGTTTTGTCTGGGGCTCTTCATTCCACAGAGTCATCTCTTTTGTTAAACTAACTAATCGTCGTCTAATGCCTTTCTAGGTGTGCTGCATCATACAGCGGTCTCTAGAAGATAAAACGCTGGACACAGTCTGAATAAAATGACATGTGAAAACAGGTGAAACGTTAGAAAGTATGCTTTATTTTTCAGAGTGGCTTGCCTGGGAGTCATGTGATCATCTGAAAACACAGGTTTCATATAAATATGTAACATCTAAATCTAGTAAACAAAGGAGTGGCATTTGTGATAACAAAATCAGGTCATTTGCACCGATATACAACTTTGCACAAACTTTACCAGCAAAATCATTGTTCTATATGACGTATGCATCTAACTGAAAATAGGTTACTGCCATTTAAACCAGCCCTTTTACTTCCTCTGTTCAGTGCAATCTATACAGTGTATAACAAATCAAAAAGTGTCTTTTAAAGCTCCAACAAGTGCCTCTGATAAATTTTAATCATTAAATATAAAAAACTCTCCTTTCAAGTCTTTGATAAAATGTATTCATACAAGGTCCCTTTTGTTAAGTAAATGTAAACAATGTTTGGGGTTACCATAAGCACATTCAGCATTCAATAGCCACGTTTCAAATGTCACTCAGGACATTTAAAACCATGTAAGCAGCTAAAAGTGCAGCAGAGTTGTGGAGTGGTCACTATGATGAAATATGTCGTTCTGCTGCCCGCTTCCCGGGTGTGACTTTACTGTTTGGTTCCTGCCTCCACAATCTCTGAGGACCGGTGGCGTCCACAGCCATGTCCATGTCCCGGTCTGGCACCAACCACTGCAGAAGCAGCAGGAAGAGGAAGTTTAAAACAGCCACAAATGCAAAGATGGAGCCAGCCACTGGGCCGCAGTGAGCCCTCAGTCTCCGCAACCGTCTGTCCAGGGGAAGCACCTCCTCTCCAGACACTCGGTCGTACACCTGAGAGGGAAAACACAATGATCAGAGTCTGCAAGCGATTCACCTTCTATTATTCCGAGTGAAGCTCAATAACAGCGGCCAGCTGTGTGAACGATCAGTGGATTTACCTGCACAGAAGAAATCACAAAACATGTTTACATGCACTGTAGTTACCTGGTTACTGTATCTATGCATACATTCATCAGGTCAATAATCAGATTGCTCCCCTTCCACATATAGTATTTTGAAAGCATGGCTTTCTTTTTTTTAAGTTCTTTTTTTGGCCTTTTATTGCCTTTATTGGATAGTGAAAGCTGAAGACAGACAGGAAAGGGGGGCAGAGAGAGGGGATGACACGCAGCAAGGGGCCACAGGTCAGATTCAATTTTTACCACTTTTACAGTGGTCCAGAACAGACACTGGCTCAAGATAGGGGGTGTTTCACGCTTTGCAACCGCCGTAGTTTCTCCTACACATCTAACCGCCAAACACAGACGCGAGCAGTGTTCAGTTAGTTGCAATCTGAAACTTCACCACTAGATTCCACTAAATCCTTCACACTGGTCCTTTAAGATTTAAACTTTTGAAGAGCTGAACACAAGTTACATTCACAGAGCTTCACTCTGATCAACAGCCTGCGTTAGAAAACAACCAAAGAGCTGATAGAACAAAGACAATAAAACACTGAATTTGTAAAAAAAGAAGCAGATTAAGTCTGTTTGACTGTAAAAATAAATAAAGATATGACATATTGCAGACAGAAATGTAGAAGACGATCCTAAAAAATATCAGAAAAACTGATCTGGGATCAATATTCACATCCAACTCTCTAATTTTACACAAACTACAACAGTTATTGAGTTCACTGTTTGGGTTTATTATGTCAGCTGTTCTCTGCTGTTATTG